TCTGTTAGGGTAGCTGTACTCTTTGTCAGATTTCTTAAAGTGGCCTCATAGGCAAATCCTCCCTAAGGGGCTGCTAGATTGACGGCAGCCCCATTGCCAACTAGGATAAGTCCTATGGCTCACCTGCACTGGCGTTGGGTGATGTTATTAACAGTCACAGAAATACCCTAAAGACCTAGGAACCTGAGGGTACATTGACCTTTGAGCTGAGAATTGTCAATACAGTGGTACACTAGAGCTACATGGAACTGGTGATAAAATCCATTGGGGGAGTCCTTACAGGGCAGCCTATTTATGGTAGAACCACAGAGGAGCACATATCTAGGTGGGGCACATGCACATTGTGGGGAAGAGGAGGTTAACTATGTGGTTAGGTTGGGGCCCCCAATGGTGGTCTGAATTACACTGGGGAGATAAGGGGCCTCCCCAAAGCTCAGCATCCCTGGACCTGTCTGGTGTCCTCTCTGCTTTAGGAGGTAGGCAGTATAGTTGCCAGGTTTCCCTCTCAAGTCCCTTCCAATATGTGCACCAGTTTTAAAGGCTTTTATTTTGGTTTCTTTTTGGTCTATAGAAAGGCATTGAGATCTATGAATCAAATGATAGCCTAAGTATTTAACAGCTGGAGGGGAGATTTGGGCCTTGGCTGGGGATACCTGACATCCATTATCCCTCAAAAAATTGATATCTAGGATGATATTGGCATTAGAGTCCTGTTTGGTGGAGCTACAAATCAGAATATCATCTACATATTGAAGGATGGTCCCTCAGTTTCCAGAGGTTTCACTCTAGAGCCTGTTCAAAGCAGTGGGTGTTGCCCCAAAACCCCTGTGGGAGGACAGTCCAGGTATATGGGGCAATTTCATGGGTGTGAGGATCTGTCCATTCAAAAGCAGACAATGGCTGACTTTCAGGGTGCAGGGGAATGCAAAAGAATTTATCTTTGCATTTTTGAGGTCTAGTACCATGAACAACTTTGTGTCATGGGGAACTTGAGTCCAAAGGGTATAAGGATTTGGGACTATGGAGTGAAGGGGAACTATAGCCTCATTGATAGCTCTCAAGTCTTGGACCATATGATATTCTCCATTTGGATTTTTTTTAAACTTTATTGGGGAA